CCCCGCAGAGTGTGATTGTTCCGTCGCGCACCCGCGTTCGCGTCTCCGGCCGCCTGAGAGCCCGAGCGCCGAGCCCGGGGCGGAGGAGAGGGGCGCGGGCGCGAGAGTCGCGGCGAGGGATCCGCGAAGGGGGAAGGGGGCGGGCGGAGGGAGGAGCGGGAGAGAGGGGGAGGGAGGGAGAGGCGAGCGAGGGAGAGCTGGGCAGAGCGAGCCAGAGCTAGAGCCCGAGAGGAGCGGGAGGGAGAGGGAGGAAGACGGACGCACGCCGAGACTCGGGCGCCGGAATTCCATTAGAAAAAAGTGAGCCGGCCGAGGGGTAGCGGGAGAAGGTTTTTTGAAAATTTCCTTCGTCTGGAGCGAAAGAAGCGACTCGGGTCTCGCACCCGCCAAGCTCCCGCTGGATTGCTCCCTGGCGCTTGCCCACGTCGGTGGATTGCTCTCCTCTTTGCGTTTTATTCTGACCCCCACCCTCGCCGCTTCCTTCCAACCCCCCGCTCTCCCGTCGCCTCTCCCCCACCTCCCCAGGCCCCTCCAGAGGAGCACAGGGGATCGGACCGCGGGGACCCGCGCTCCCGGGCCGGCGGAGGGACGGCAGAGCGCAGGACCGCTGTCGGCGGGGAAGCAGCACCCACAGACACACCTGTGTGTTTCATTCTAGTGGGCGAGGGGCGTCGAGCGGGCCCGCCGCCTTCGTCCCCACCCCCTCCGGCCAGGGGCGAGAATCGCAGGACTCAGGATCTCCATCGGGCGGACTCGCTGGGATCTCCGCATTGGATTTGGGGCTGATTATCACTGCTTGGCTATATTATTGTCATTTTTTTTTAACCCAAGGGAGAAAGACAAAACACAAAACTGTGGGATTTATTTAACATGATCTTGGCAAACGCCTTCTGCCTCTTCTTCTTTCTAGGTGAGTACCTGCGAGCGGCGAGGGCAGCGGGTCCGCGGGAACCAGGGGGCCTCGCAGGCGGCGCGGTCGGGCGCCTCCGAGCAGCCGGGGACGCGGGGGACGAGCGGGGCGCCGGGAGACTGGCGGGGCGACCGGCGGGAGAGCGCGCCGTGGAGCGAGCTAGCCAGGCGCTGCCCGCCCAGCCGGGGCCGGGCGCGAGCCGTGGCTGTCTGGTTAAGAGCGGGGATTAAGAAGGAGACTTAGAACACCCAAGCCATCCCCGCGCGTTCGTGTTCTCTCTCTCTCTCTCTCTCTCTCTCTCTCTCTCTCTCTCTCTCTCTCCTCACTCACACAATGATGTACTCATTTCCCTCAAAATAATGGGTTCAAATTGCGGCAACTTAAGAAAAAACACACACATAACCCCCCCACCCCCCACCCCAACTCTTGATCTGGAAGAGAGGAGGGAGGAGAAAGGCCCAGTATGGGGAGAAAAACCCAGGGTCCCCCCTTTCCAGGCCCCCAGAATGGATTGTGGGGGAGCCCATGGGTTTCTCCAGGAGCTCCTTGCTGGACTTTTTTGGGTGGGGGGGGGGCGCTGGCAGCCATCCCCCACCTGCCAGTCAACCTCTGGACAATGCACCCCATTTCCAACACCCTGAACCCCTTCCCACAGCTCTCTCCCTGGAAGACTTTTCAAGTTTCTCCCCACCCTTTGCCCTCCCTGCTGCCCAGGCCCAGCCCGATGGGGAGGCAGGAGTGGCGGGCTGGGAGCCCTCTCACTGCTTTGCCTTCCTCATCTTGGGGGCCAGGGACCCCGTAGCTAGCTGGTGGGAAGGAAGGGAAGGAGGCCAAAGTTTGCTTCCTTGGATGATGGAGGAGAGAGCCGTGATGAAAAAAACGAGATCTGAACAAAGACCACTACTCATCCTGTAAGCCCCTTCCCCCAAGGGCAGGCAGGAGGGGCTGCCTGGTAACCCGGACCCTAGGCAGCCTCATTCCCACCCAGAATTCCCAGCCCTCACCTCCTTTTATGCTATGTGGCATCTCAGCTGCCTGGGAAGTGGGTGTAGAGAGAGCATTCTGGGAGTGGAGGTGAGGAAAAGAGGGTGTTTGCAAGTGCTGACTGGGAGTCCCAGGCAAGGCTGCTGTCCAGAGCAGGTGCTCCAGGAGGGAGCTGGTGACGTGTGTGTGTGTGTGTGTGTGTGTGTGTGTGTGTGTGTGTGTGAGAGAGAGAGAGAGAGAGAGAGAGAGAGAGAGAGAGAGAGAGAGACATTTGCTTCAGTGTGGGTGCTATTCCTGCCACCCTGGCCTGCTGTGTAGCTGGTGGTGAGCCAGGCTGCCCGGCTGGGTCATGAGTGCACCCTGTCCCTCCTGAAGGAGGGGAGGGGGGAGGCCTGGCAGGTAGGTGCTGGTCTCAGAAAGATGTGGGTGGTCTAAGTGCCTCCTGACCAGGACAGGGGATTTCAGTGAAGATTGGCCCTGGGCCTTTTGTCCACCTGTCTTCTTCCCCTCCCCCAGCATGAGTTTCCCAGGGGGCTTGGCCCTGCTCTAGGGTGTGGCCTTCACCTTCCTGCTGCCCAAACCAGAGACCGCTTCTCTGCAGGTAGGAGGGGCTGAGGCAGGAAGCTGGGCTGGTGCTCCGGGCTCACTGAGTGCCTGCAGCCAGTCCCTGCAACCCTCTGCAAGTGGACTCTGTTTCTGAAGGGGCCATTCTAAGACCTGACCTTTCTCCCCACTGGTTTGAAAAGCCAGCTTTCTGGGCCAAGAAGAAAAGAAAACTGTTTTGTGGAAAAGCCATTAGATTGCTCACTGCTGCTGCACCCACCCCAGGCCCGCAGGACTCCCAGGCGTAGGCACGCTGAGGTCCGGAGCGGAGGAGGGCATATAGGACCCTCAGGCATCTCCAGGCCCAGACCCTCATGCTGCAGGCAGGCCTTTCCCAGCTGGGAGGGCTGCGGAGGTGACAGTGTTCTCACGGTGCAGGTGTGGGTGTGTGGGTATGAGGGTGTGCTGGTCAGAGATGCCCACCCTGGTGCCTGTGACTTGGGGGCTGAGTGGTGAGAGGAGGGTGGGAGCCGTGAGAGCTGCGGGGCCAGCAGCCCCTTTGGTCAGAGCCAAAGTTCCTTTCCCCTGAGAAGCCCCTTTCCAGTGCTGGGCAAGGGGTTAACTGAGTGACCACAGGACATTGCAGAGGTCTGGGTGAGGCCAGCCAAGAAGGAAGGGATAGGTTGGTGCTAAGGAAACTTCAGCCCCAGGGCTTCTTTCTTGGAAAGGAGTTGGTTGGAAATTCCACTTGGGGGAGAGGTTTCCCTGGAGCTTTGGTTGGGAGCATGGTGAAGCATGTTCCCAGGAGCAGGGCCTTCCGTGTGCCCCTCCCAAGGTTCCGAGTGAGGTCTGCAGGGGGGAGGCCTGGGGGCCCAGCCATCCTGCCCTCCAGTGCTGACATTCCCAGGGAGATGAGTGATGGGGAAAGCCACTTGGGGGCGGGGTCTGGTCAGAGGGCCAACTTTACATTGACAAGTCCTGTCTGGCAGGTACTCAATGCAGCAGAGTGCTATAGCTCTGTGTAGCCGCGCAGTCCCCCGGTGCCTCTAGAACAGCGGTTCTCAACCTGTGGGTCTCGACCCCTTTGGGGGTTGAACGACCCTTTCACAGGGGTCGCCTAAGACCATCGGAAAACACATATATAATTACATATTGTTTTTGTGATTAATCACTATGCTTTAATTATGTTCAATTTGTAACAATGAAAATACATCCTGCATATCAGATATTTACATGACGATTCATAACAGTAGCAAAATTACAGTTAAGAAGTAGCAACGAAAATAATTTTATGGTTGGGGGTCACCACAACATGAGGAACTGTCTTAAAGGGTCGCGGCATTAGGAATGTTGAGAACCACTGCTCTAGAAGCTCTCCCACACCTCTTTTCTGGATGGATCTGAGTTTCCTCTTGATCTAGAACTTGGGCAGGCCACCAGGATACCTTCTGACCTTTATTTTCCTGGGATTCTTGGCCCTGAGTTGCCATGATTTCCTTCTCTGGCTGGGCTTCATTGCTTTGGGGGGTCATGACGCCAACTAGAGGAGTCAGGGACAAGTGGCGGTCGGGCAGTTTGGCGAAAGGACGCACCTGACCTCTGCTGAGCATCTCCCACCTGGTCCCACGTGCTCGCTGGCAGGATGGGGAAGCCCTTGCTTGGACACAGAGCCAGGATTCTGTCAGGATCATCCCTGGGGCTCTAGACCCCACTCGCAGGGCAGGCAGGGTAAGTGTCCTTATTGCCCCAATCCCCTGGGCCTGTGTCCTGATCAGCAAGCCTGTGAAGGTGCCCCTTTCTCAGTCCACTTCAGATACAGTCAAGGTGGGAGGGGAGGAACCTGCTGGGACACTGGGTTGACGATCAAAGTCAGTGGAAGGCCAAGGGCTGGGTTGGTCTTAAGGCTCCAGCTGGCTGGCTGGCTGGCTAGGTGGGGGCAGCAGGTGCAAGTGAGGCTGGGTCAGCTCAGCTGCTCCTGGGTGGCCCAGATGCACCGAGTCCTGCTCAGGGATCTAGGAATTTGCTGAAGCCGGGAAATAAAGCAGATGCCCCACTATCCAGCCAACACTCCATGCTGCTTTCTTCTCTGGTCTGTCTCAGCCTGGCCACAGCCTTCAGCTCTCCCTGTCCTGAGGCAGAAGTGTGGTCCGTGGGCGGAGGAAATGTCTGTCACGCTTGCCCTAGAGGCCTTCTCCACTGCAGGCCCACCCTCTGCTCCTCTTCCTTGGCTGGTGGGTAGGCCTGGTCCCTCTAGGAGTGGGTTCCTCTCCCTTCCGTGGCTCTGTCGGGAGGAACGGGCTCTCAGTGCAGCGCTCTGCCTCTAGGTGTCGCTGTCTCCCTGCTGTAGCTGCCCCCTGAGCAGGGCCTCCTGGGGGAAGGAGTGAGACCTGGCAGTAGAGATGGGGGATTCTTCGGATATTGAGGAGGGGACTTCTGGCCTAGGATCATTTTATGTCTCGTGGCCGGATGGAGTGGAGGAAGACTCCCAGGTCACGACTTGGATCTTGGAAAAGGCAGTCTTGGCTCTGGGCCACGTTATGGGCTTTTTCTGGAGCAGGATCTGGAGTGAGGGGCTTGGAGAGGACAGGGAGACCAGCAGGATGTCTGTGATAGATGGAACCATGTTAGGAGCTTGGTTTTGAAGGTCCCTGCCCTTCACCTCTGCATCTTCTTCCCTGACGCCCTCTCTCCCAAGGACTGTGGGTGTGGACCCGCTGGTCTGTGGACAGAAGCGGGCCTCAGCTTCCTGCCTGTTCACTTTTGCAGAAGCCGGGCTCCAGGTGTGAGGCGAGGGCCGAGGAGGGACGCACTTCCCCTTTTGCAATTGGCTGATCATTTGGGTTTTGGAAAGAAAGGAAAGACGGGGGAGAGGGTTTCAGAGGAGGGTGGGAGGAGAGAAAAAGAAATAGGAGAGAGAGAGAGAGGAAATGATTTGCGTCGAGCATTTTTTGGGAGGGGCTGGGGCTTAGATTGTCCTGGGGAGGCACCATTTCGGGTCTTGGCAGCTGTGAAGGGGCCTGGGCGAGTGGAGGCTGGGCCGGGAAGGGGTAGCTCTTTCCTCGGACGCACCTCACAGCACAGGGTCAGGCCTGTCTCCCATTCTCTTTCTTTCTTTCTTTCTAAAATGCTTTTTAAAAAAAAAATTTTTCAATTACAGAACTCAGAATGAATAGGCTAGGGGTCCAAGAAGCCTTTTCAGCCTGTGTGTGACCTTCAGTTGTCATCTCCCTTCTCTGGGCCTCAGTTTCCCCAGGGTAAAATCTGGGGGCTGCACTCTGTGGTGTCAGAGGTCCTAACAGGCTATGAAAGTTAAATTGCTTTCTGCTGCTTACACGGCGTAACCAGTGCTGTGGCGGGCCTCTGGCTGGAACTGAAGCTGACAGGAGGCCTGGGGGTTACGAATGTGATCCCCCTCTGCTCACCCCAGCCGGCCCTGCAGCCCCAGCTCTCTGCTGAGGCTCTTACATTGGCCTTCTGGCATGGGCCTTGCTCGAGGGCCTTCTGGCTGGCCCAGTGCTGAGGGGGACAGGGTGGAGCCAGCTGAGGATCTGATAGAGCCAGGGCAGAGGGCAGCTGAGTTCTCTGTGGGGTTTGAGGAGGAAGGTTGGTGTCTTAGGACCAGCAGCCCCTCCTCTGACCTGCTCTGTTGGGAGGTGCACTGAGTGGGCCTTGATGTGCTCTGGAGTAAATGGGTGTGATTTCCAGAGGGGCCTGACCGACCCTCAGCCCTGCGTCTTGTGTGGGAGACTGTGGTGGCCTCACTCATGCTTGTCTTCCCTCCCCACCACCCAGACGAGACCCTCCGCTCTTTGGCCAGCCCTTCCTCCCTGCAGGGCCCCGAGCTGCACGGCTGGCGCCCCCCAGTGGACTGTGTCCGGGCCAATGAGCTGTGTGCCGCTGAATCCAACTGCAGCTCCCGCTACCGCACGCTTCGGCAGTGCCTGGCGGGCAGGGACCGCAACACCATGCTGGCCAACAAGGAGTGCCAGGCGGCCCTGGAGGTCCTGCAGGAGAGCCCGCTGTATGACTGCCGCTGCAAGCGGGGCATGAAGAAGGAGCTGCAGTGCCTGCAGATCTACTGGAGCATCCACCTGGGGCTGACCGAGGGTAAGCCGGGGGGTGGCGGTGGTGGTGAGGGGTGTGGGGGCCCAGGTTCAGGGGCAGGATGGGGTAGTGGAGTGAACTGGCCGGCTCCTTAGCCCTCCTCGCTGGGGGAAACAAGAACCCAGAAGTAGCCTCCTGGCTGGGAGCTGAGGAGGAGAGAAGGCAGGGTGTTGGGAGGAGAACAAGGCTGGAGCAGGGGTGAAGGAACGGGGAACACACCAGGGACAGAAGGACCTATGACCGTGTGAAGGGGTCACAGGAAAAGGTGAGGTAAGAGTCCCAGGCAATGGAGAAGTGAGAACAGGATAGAGAGACGGACCGGGACCAGCCCTGTGCTTGCAGAGCTGAGCTGCCAGCACACCAGCTCCTGCCACTCCCGCTGCCTGGACACCCAGTGCGGGCTGCCCCTTCCCGCTCTTCCTGCTCCCAGGAGACCCATCTTCAGTGGCTCCTGACCCCGTGGCTGGCCTAGGCACCTTCTGCAGGGCTTGGAGCAGTGTGAGGGCAGCAGGTCCATATTCCTCAGTGGGCCTGCCCCCAAGTCCCCAGGTAGAACCTGTAAACTGCCCCCCCCCAAAGACTACCTCCCCCATGTCCTCCCCCTGCAGACTGAAGTGAGGCGGATTTGCATATATTGTAGGAGGGTGGCCACCTGGGTCAGACGTTCATTTATTAACTCAACAACTGTTTACTGAGAGTTTACTACCTGGTAGGTGTTGTGGAAAGA